GAGTATACGAATGATACCTCTTACCACCACTTACAACCACTTTTCTCCACTGAAATCCGTAACAAAATCACCGATAACACAGGAGCTATGAATTTGTACCTAATCCTTAAACAGCACGACCACTTTTGGTAGTGTCTGTTGCGTTTGTATGAATATTATTGATATTGCCCGGCGTCCTTGGAGCCATGAATTTGGTCTTTCTGAAAGTGAGGGTAGATAGGTTTGGGAACCCAATCTCCGATCGCCCCGTTGTCGTTTGTTTGGCTTAATCTGGGTTTCGGGTGATGATGATTTATTTTCCTTTAGTTGTACTCTATTCCATCATCTTTCCTGACGAGATAGCTCCTCTTAAAGTTGTTTTTAGAAAAAGATTTGTGTCCGGATCGAGGGCTGTTCTATCATGATGGTGTTTTTGAACATAATTTTGTCTTTTAGTGAGTTCTTCATTTACCTTGTGGAATGGGTACTAGATCTGATTTGACATGCCATGAGGAGGGAACAAAATTTAGCAGATAACGGCCAAACAGCTGATCGGTTGGGAAGGGAAAGTAGTGAGAGTAATCTCCCCTGTTTTATTTGCATTTACAAAACAATCCACAGCTAATTACCGAAACATAACAATAATATGAACGATCGTGAGATCACAAGTTCAACACCCCCACTTGATCGAAAACGATTCATTCACTCATTCAGCAACCATAAATATTGAAAAATGTAGTAAACGTAAATCTTACTTACTTTACATTCATCCGCCGCTTATACCCTTTTGGGTGTAGCGGGAAGAAAGTGACGTCTCTCGTTGGTCAGGGGGATGCCGTGGGTATTTAATATTTCCCTGATTCCATCTATCCAGGCCTTTCTCGGTTGCCATCGAATTTTTGGAGGTAGGCACGTTGAGCACAACGGATGGGATGTGTTGGTAATCGTAAGAGATGTCCGAACCATTTGATTCTTTAGTGTTGGATGTGATGCATGACATCATTTGTGCCCACCATTTCTCGGATTACAGAGTGTCTAATTGTGTCTCGCCTGGTCTTGTTTACTGTTTTTCTAAGGTATCGCATTTCACATGTTGTAATTCTTTGCTCTAATGTCTTGTTCGTGGTCCATGTTTGGCATTTATAGGTGAGTGCTGGGATGAATATTGTGTTGATCATTTTGAGTTTTGTAGTCATGGGGATGTTAGGATGTTTCATAGTGGAGTAAGCTGGTAACTAACATTATTGGCCTTCTGTACTCATGTTTCAATTAGACAAATCTGTGTAGGGTAAGAATTGAACATCCTGACAAACATGTGAAGAGCTATTGGATGCATGTGGTGCTTCTTGTACAAATTACGAGGCTGAGGCCATCGCCATTAAAGCTGCAATCCTCCACCTGACCAACATTTTCATAATACATCCAAACAAAATCAACAACACTATTATCTCCACAGACGGAAAGTCAGTACTCCAAGCTTTGGAAAACTTGAATTTCGAAAGCCCAGCCTGCCTATCTGTGGCTCATCAACACCTTCATACAGACCTATGCCGTCGACCTGACACTACAATCTGGCCACAGCAATGTCCCAGGAAACAAAGCATAGCAAATTCTTTGCCATATCGACAGACCGAAGGGCTAGAACCCAAATGGCCGCTGGATCGGAAAAGTAAAGTAAAAGTAAAGTGTCTGTTTATGTTTGTGTATAAAGTGTGTGTTTGTGTGTGTGTGTGTGTGTGTTTGTGTGTGTGTGTGTGTGTGTGTGTGTGTGTGTGTGTGTGTGTGTGTGTGTATGTGTGTGTGTGTGTGTGTGTGTGTGTGTATGTGTGTGTGTTTGGGGGAAAGGGACGAAAATCACTGTATTGGAACAAGGCAATAAAAAGGCGTTCAGTCGGTGTTTTTCTTGAGCAGAGTTTGGTGGAAAAGCCGTGGTGGAAAAGAGGCGTTCTGTCAGAAAACTCTTTTTTTAAAGGTGTTTTGTCAGCGCAACCATTTAAAAAAGGAATTCTTGAATGTTAATTTATTCAAAAACTAGTCACACTTCCGACCGAGAAGTAGGGGGTAGATACATGAAAGACATGAATACACAAAGATGGTACATAACAAGATGGGCCATTCAGCCAAAAAAGTGTCCGCCGGAAGTCCGCTCTTTGCTTCAGATAGCGCTGCAGTCTGTTTTGAAGATCTCTTTCGTTTTTCTAGAAGAAGAATAGGAATAGCACCTCATTGCGTGCGCAGATCGACTGCTGTTCATCAGCAGTTCGGGTTCATTCAGTGCGGAGTTTTTTGTCAGCGTAACCATTTTAAAAAAACGTTCTTCCAAAATTTATCCAAAAACTTGCTAGTTTCTTTCACTTTGACTCTTTAAACTCAAGTAGGGTAACTCTGTTCGCAAAGGGTGCGCATATGACAGACTGTCCTTCTACTTCACTGCCTGGGTCCTGCCACTCAAAAAGCAAATGAAAGTCTTTATAGCGTCAACTTTAGTGAACTGAAAATCAGACAAAATGTGCCTAGTATTGAAATCAATATGAAAGTATGAGTGCCAACTGTTGGGTGGTTTACGAATGAGAACTGTTCCATGGAAATGTACTAAAAATCCCAGGTGTCAGCTGTTCTCAACCGTCTTACCCGTTTCCATGGCAACCAAAGCATTTTTCGAAAAATGAAATGTATCACATCGTCGGTCGCCTGATAAAACCGTGAATTCCACAAATTTTCGAAAATCGTTTTTTTGGTGCATATTTTGATAGTTCTCGGTGAGATACATGTCCCTGTAAAACTATTTTTCAATTATCTCAACTCAAACGTGTAATCTGATTTAATAAGAAAATCGTTAATAAACACCGTGCCCCAACAGCCGCCTGATGAAACCGTGAATCCCACACCTGTGTGGAATTCACCATCTCATCAGTCGGTTTATGACTCGCGGGGCTGACCGTTGGCGCCGTGAACGCCTCTCTAGACCATTGAAATATGGGCGACTGCGTAGTGCAAATAGAACGGACGGTTTCCAGGCCAAAGATTATAATTTATGATGTCGATACTGCATGTGTTTTGCCGGAAAACTTCTGTCACATAATTAAAATGAGTGTTTCCTATTGTTTCACAGCGACTGTCAAATTCGAATGTGTAATGGGTGTGCCCTTCTAGTAGTGGCTTATACAATTTTTGATCTTGCTAGATCTAGTTTGCAAAACCTTTTTTAAAATAACGTAGTCAAGTATAAATTACAAGTGTATTTCCGTGTTGTATCACAACAAAAACTTGTTTGACAAAGGAAACCTGACTGATTTGACACCAGAGTTCCCTAACGAGAAAAGGAATTTTGAGAAGCCGAGCAATGTGAACCACTTTGGGCATTAAAGAAAGCTACAGAAAATACAGCACGAAAATAGTAGAAGAACCAGACTTCAATGAAAAAAAAAGTGTCATTGAAATTTCACGATGCGTTGGAACAGATCAAAGTTGCTTTTTTAATCTCGGAGAGAAAGAGAGAGAGAGAGTGAGAGAGAGAGAGAGAGAGGGGAGAGAGAGAGGGAGAGAGGGGGA